GACCTTGGAGTTAACACGGGGAAAAACATTGTTACAACGAATGGCAGATTTCAGTTGGCGCCAAACATGTTCAATGGGATTAAATATACAGTGGTAAGGTGGAAGCCTCAAAACTGTATGCCCTAGATTTTTTGCATAATTATCGCAGACGTATTCCTTTTGTAGGTTCAAGCTTTGTAGAACCTCAATGAATTAACTGCTTTTTGGATTGTTGTTTTTGTGTCTCATGAGGAAGAGCTTTTAGTCAACTGTCTATTGTGATAACTTGCATTGTCCATTACAATGACGCTATTAGGAGGAGTGTTTCGGACTAGTTTGTTTTTAAACCAACTTTCAAATAAATCAGCGGCGGTGTCTTCATGGTAATCCAGACAAGAATCTTTAATATTTTTCGCAGACAGAAAAAGTCCATTTGGAATCCAACCATCTTTAGAGCCAGCATGCAAAATAGTAATTCTTTTACCTATTTTTCATGGCGCGTATCATAAGTGTCGAATCCTATTTTTTTTCTAGATATTCCAGTACCCATTTCCGAATTTTAAAAGATTCCATTAAAACTTGCCTTTTGTCAATTTTTTAAAATCTAAACCCCATGTGTTGAATACACTTCCATAAGGTAGTTCTGCCACATTTAACACCGATTTCATCTTTTTCACGGCTCCTAATTAAGATATCTAATGTAGGCACGCTTTGTTCCTCGTATAACTGGTAAATTTTACGCCGTATTATATCCTGATCACTTTCATCTACCCTCGAGAAAATGTCAGCATCGCATCTTTTTTTCCTCGCTGAAATGAGATTATTCACAATTTTCCATACAGATCCGATACATGATGTCGGAATTTTCGTCAATGTGGCCGTTTCTTGTAAAGATGCTTGCTTGCTGGCACTACGTTCAATGAGAGTCAAATAAACATTGTTTATAACTTCCTTAGTCTCAATAGAGTAGTGTTTTCTACATTTGGGCGAGAGCATCTCCTGAGATACACTAGACTCGCACATATTTTGCATAATTCGCACACGATTCAACACACGCTGCATTACACACGAAATAAGAATGATTACTAATAAACTTAAACTAAGTAGTATACCAAACCAAAGAATATTAAACACAAGTAGGTATAAAACTATTTTCTATTACGGACCACAATTTTACCTGAATTTAAATTCCGAAACTTTAGGTAATAATTTTGTTACATTGTATGTTAATGATCACCCTTGGATAATCCCATTCAAAAGCAATTGGTCACTTTCTTATATGTATGAACAGACCATACAGCTGTAACGTTTAGTGCTAAATTTTTTTGAAGATATTTATCCCTCTATCAAATTTCTCGTAATTCTCGGTATGTAACTACAACTTAAACTAAAATGAGCTCAATGGTTGATGCATTATAAATTACCAAAAGATGTTATGAAATTCAATTAACTCACCAGTGCCACTGCATTTTATTAAGATAGTTTGTAGCTCTCAAAAACATATACATAAGAATCGATCATTGTTTTAGAAGTGTAAACATCCTTCATCTTTAACAATTTTTCTGGATTTTAAAATAAAAAAAAGGAAAGTAGAGTGAATGTGAAAATTCCAAAAAAAGCTCATTATTTCTGATCTACTCGAGACAAAAATGTCAAATCTTTATTGTACTGCGTCAAGTGCCGTAGAAATTGCTATTGGTACATAGAAAATCTTCCGCCGCCCTTTTGGTATCAGTTATTAATAACACGGCGTCAACAAACAATAAGGTAAAAAAATAGAAATAATCGATGGTGGCAAGAAAATGTAATCTATTTAAATTTCAGAAAGGCATGTTGTGTGTTTTGCATCAAATTTCCAATAAGAAACGTGCAAGGTATTTCAATTAGAATTTTAATAAAACGTACTAAATTAATAAGAGGAAAAGTTACGACATCAAATTCTTTCCAATATAAGGAGGTGCTCGGAATTCAACCCGCGCTGAGACGGTACAATAAATTCAAAACGGGTCGGGCAAGGTATATAGCGAGAATTATTGTTCAAATTTGAGGGATTCCATTGATCACGAAGATCCTCAGAATTTCAGGAATTCTGTTAATTATAACAATCACATGTAAGCCGACACCACAAGGCATCTGCGTTTACCAGTTTACCAACATCCTCGTAATATATAGACTATATTTATCTTGAGAGATGCCTGTCTATTTCGATAAACGTTGAGATAACGCGCCATTCACGGGATTATACGAAGTCGATAATATACAAAGAAATACTATTTCCTCATTGACGAAGTGAGGAAAGGGGGCATTATCAGATACTTATCTTAAAATTTAATTAGACTGCGATAAAAATTGGGTTAATTTGTTTACCACACGAAAAGCCTGGGCCCGGAATGTATTTGATCGGAAATCCAACGGAGTAGTCGCATTTTTTCATACTTTTGTTTGAAACTCAAAAAAATTAATATTAGGAAAATTGATTAGTAAGGAGCATTTTGAGGGGAGACATTATCTATTATATGTTTTACCTAAAACGCCCCACTACCTGAAGCATGAGTTTGCTGTAGTGGGTGGGGTCTCTAGAATCTACCAACATTGGTTCTTCTACACTTTAGTAAATTTTTAATAAACGCCATTCTCTATGTGGTTTTTTCAAGCGTTTCTCGGTCTCTCTAGTTTCTTTATTGCGCAGCATTCCGTACGTTCAGCTGTTTTATAAAATAACATTTTCACCCGACAGAGGGACTGATATCTAACACGCATCTTTATAAGAAATTATTTCCAGAAATATTTAGCAAAAACGAGTAGATATTTATTTAATAACGCTGGAATCTGCAAATTAAATCGTCGTAAAATACAGAAAGCCGTAAAGTGGTAAATTTATTTAGTAACATCTCGGCGGAGCCATAAACCTCTGCACTACTAGAAGAAATACAATAAAATTTTTCTAAACTATTTCGCTTAAGATACGCCGTGCGTGCAATAAAATTACACGTTTAATGCAATAATACGTATTAACTTTATAATCAACAAAGTACTTTTACTGAAATATCATTACAAAAACATTTAGAACCTTAAGTGGAATTAAATTTTACGGCCCAAGATATCGGTAATAGTGCCTGACTTTAGACAAGCCTCGTCTTTTCTGTCCCACACAGTCCAGTGTTGCTCCATAATCTACTATAATAAACCCAAGACTGAACGTCTTGTGCGGTTCCGTATTCAACAGCTCTATTACTGATAGTTCTGATTTTTACACAAGTTCCAAGCAGACAATAATAATAATAACAATAATAATAATAATAATAATAATAATAATAATATTAATTGAATCAAACAATAGTAGTAGCAATGAAAAAATGCGTCAAAATAAATATTAAATAAAATTATTTAATCACCGTATCAACAACCAATAGAAAAGGCTAACTATAATTAACAAACCAAAAATTAAGTCCAAAAAATTACATTTTTTTTTTAATTAATGGGGCTTAATATAAAATTAATATTCTCATTGAATCGAATTAAATGCAATTTTAGAATGTAATTCAACAGATGTAAAAATAATATGTACGTAATATGTAAATTAAAAAATATCCTAGAAAAGGGTAGCCAAAGCCTGATCTAAACACAATAGAGAAATAATTAGGAAACTGGAAAATGAATGATAAGAATTTAATTTTACAGTCTTAAAAATAGGTCGAACAATGTACATGGAGATTACTGACCAAAGTAACGTGACAGTGTGACAATGTGAATGTGTGATAGCCCTGAAATATCTTGAAGGTGGTAAAAAAAACCAATACCACAAATTGGACATCAAAACTAGATCATGCTTTGCCTACTATTCTGTCAAAGAATAAGTTTCAGTGAAGATACAAAAATATCAGCACCAAGTGTTCAAAGACATACTGGGCAAAAGAAAATAGTTAAAAGGAATGGCTTAAATAGCTCTCCTGTCTGCTATAGAAAAATTACTGGATTAGAAGATAAATAAATAGACAATTTTTTTATTATATTATAGACAATCAGGAGAGTTCCATTTGTGCACCAAAGTCAAGGTTTCATATGTAGAAAAATCATTGACACCCCACAAAGTCCAAATTACAAAACTGGAAAGATTTTGCAATATTCTTTTTAATAAATAAAATAAATAAATATTACTAACTGAAAAAAAGAACGCACGCACACACACAAGATTAGAGAATAGGCCTCGTATCAAATAAAAATGCAAATGAGTGCCACACACACGGGGCACTAGAGGCGTGAATATAAAAAACCAAAGTTCAAATAATTACCAAATCAGAATGACTCGGTATATATGAAAGAAAATTAATGGTAATTTAAATAGCAATATTACCTCCAATCAAATCGACACCTTTTTTTAATTCGTTATTTATTTATTCGACTCCCCAAATCAATTTGTTGCAATCAAATCGGTATAACAGAGGCGTACTATACGAGATGAACTTAGATATTACGATAGGAAACTACGTATCAATTGTTCCAGCGAAAAAAATGGAGAAATCATTTTTATTTCTAACATTTCAACAAGAATAGTCGGCGTAGAAAAAAAGACACTTTTTAGCTACCTGTTTTTTCAGTTGCTTGCAAAATTGTTCTAACATAGCATAAACTTCTAAAAATTGCGTTTAATCATTGAAAATTACTAAAATAACTTCCGAAATTCTTTACAAGAATCCCCAAGTTGGAGATGTTCGGTAGTGCATACTGGAATCTTTACTTTAACGGTAAATAAAAGGCCATTTCGTACTCAAAATAAAAGACAATGCTGCTAGTAATTTCTTTATTAGACTAAACATGAGTTTATTATTATTAACACTTGCTTACTCAAAAAAGCACCGTGTAACGCTACTGGAATAATCATATTAGAAAGCTTAAGCAATCAATTTGTACCATTTCGATTTAAATGCCAATCTTACTCGAGGTTTCACTCAATTTTGCGATTCTTTATACGTGAAAGCAGTCAAAATTAATACGAAGCGTAAAAATCACGACATAATTACCTTAGACAGATATTTATGACTTGCATATCCTGTCGTCCATTATTACAGTTGATTTTTCTCTACCTGAAACAAAGACAAATGACAGCGTTATATAGTTTTATGCAACCGAAACAACAACTTTTTTTTCTGTCGGTCGCATTCCCCCGAGTTGGGAAATTTTGATTAATGAAACATAAAGTAAAGCAACGAAAATTGTTTCTTAATTATGGTCCCGCCCACCGAATATCCACAGTTCTCTAATTATGTTTACTTCAGACACGGAAATTTACAATGGTTATTTTGAGATTAAACAACCGCAAGACTTGTTTTTTAACGTCTGTTAGCGAAACTATTTTCTTTGTCACAAAAACAGATAGGGCATTTTCCATTTTTTTAGGACGAAAACAGTTTTTCTCGGGTCCGAATTTTCTGATAGATGTTACGATGCACCTTTTTTTTTTTAATTGGGATAAGAACGAATAAAGACAGGACGAACGGTTTATTAATAGCAGCGCCTAGTTGAACACGCCTACATTTTGTAATTAAGAAAAATCGTACAATGAAACAGATTTAAATCGACCATTTTCCGCATTCATTTTGACAAATTATGTATGAAATATTTTCTGACAGAATTACATTTTCATATTCATGCATCGCATCCATTTTACTTTATTATTCTGTCCCAAGTTACGTCACTAGTGACAACTATTAACTAAATATAAACCAAAATGTTTTTGATATTCTTTGTAAGAAACGACAACATCGGAAAAATTAAAATTACATTAAAGGCTAAAGCTTGGGAATATAACATGTTGGAATTTTTTTTATCAGAAACAACCTTCTCGTCACCTCTTTAAGTTTAAGCTCTGATTTAAGAGAAACCATATGTTTTTTAAAATTAAATTATGAATTAAAGTTGAATTCCATCCCTCGGGTTAACATTTTCAGAGGAACATGCAAAATAAAAACTATGTGTAGGTTTTTCCTTTGATATTTTAAGTAAATTGAAAGTATTGTACAATGAATAAAACATAACTGAAAGGCGTTTATCGTGATTGGAACTGGGACATAAAGGTAGCCTTAGAATAAATCCAATAAAGCCGAAACGAAATATTGAAGAAAATCGAAAAACTGCTAAGAGGCTTTTAAAAAAACCAAGTACAATTCGTTTTTTGTTTCCTAACTAGGTATCCCAGGAAATATTCTGTAGGTGGAAATAAGACATTTTTTAAACTTGTCGTTTTTATTTTATTAACCTGAAATTTTTAGTATATAATATTAAAACATCATATTAAACGGTGTCTTCAAATCATCAAATATACACGAATACTTGCATAAAACATTTTCAAAGTCAACCGGTGAAGCGTAAATTTTAGTGATCGGTCTCGGGCAGTGTTAAAAATTTAGCTAAAAGTCGTTCCAAAGGAATCGATTTATGTCTGTCCAGGGAGCTATTCAGCAAAACTACATTAAAAGCACGTTAGTAGTCCTTCTGCGAAAGAGAATTCGATTTCTTGCACCTATTATACATTGGAAAGACAACTTGATCGAAGAAATTAATACAACATTAGATTGAGGGAGTGGAATATAGTCCTAATAACTAGGGAAAACTAAAAAAGTAAACAAAAGTAAAAGCGTTTAATACAAAACGTCGGATTTTGTAACCGCCGCTGCTGAAGCTAACCGGATTTTTTTTAATGACGAAATACACACATCAAAGATACTATTCATTGAAATCGCCTCTAGACATTTTACAGAAGTGAGCTAATAACTGTATAAACATTTATAAAACCACTTTGGCTTACGAATATTAACAGAATACATTGACAGATTAGTGGACGCTTTGATAAACAAAATTTGGTATTATTTACGTACCAAAAAAATGTCACAGTTAACCCAAATAACCTGGTTTGATTTGCTAAAGATAAACAATTCGAGTTATATTACTTTCTTCGTCGGAATTCGTATTTTTTTCTTTACTGGGTGCGCGTGTTGGGCAATCTCGCTGGATTGGTACGTGCCTGGCATGAAATATGCCTAAAGCATCAGAAAAAAGGATCTTCAATGGTTACTACTAAGGTGAATGCCTAGCAAAGTTTCGGCATTCTTTCTGAATAGCAAATGCTTACAAACATTAACCCGATTTTAATTTTCGAGACACTTTAAAGCTTTTTTGCCTACATCACCAGATTGATAACGTATAATGTCAAAAAATGAAAACTGAATGAAATGAAATTATAAGACTACTTTCGCGATGTTAGCAAAACTAAAACCGATATTTGGACAGCGATTTCTTTAATAACTTTTATATAAAGGGTTGTGAACTACATGCTTTACGTTAGGCAGGATATTAAAATATACCGGAGAACCTTTTACCATAGGCTTTTTGCTTATTGTTTGAAAAACGAGCATTTTTCAAGGTAATGGGCGACAGGGTATCAAAAGTGAAATAAAAACGCGTCTCCAAGTTTTAAGTCTACCCCATGAAGAGCGCCCAGGGTGAGTAAGCCAAAATAAAAATGCCGATCCATAACAAAAAGGCAAAGTCTCTTGACAAACTTCTTAACGCCGTTCCCTTATCCCTTCTCCTTTGAATATTTTATTTTCTGGTCCTATACGGACCACATTCTATATATATTCCACATAACTAATAGCGCAATATCAGCACGTCGACACAAAGGTTTATTCAGTTTTATCACCTTTTTATTTTTATCGGGTTCACCATAACAAATCGCCGTGTAATGTTGTTTTTGATTGTGCATGATTTACACAATTTTTTATGCGAGACCGACTGAAAAACATAAGCAATCTAAAAGTGATATAGAATCGATAATAGGGTTCTCGATCGGCTATCCGAGTAGAAAACTACCCGTTCTTTTTTATATGGAAGTTTCGAAAATTTAATACATATCAAAAAGCCATAATCACGTCTTGTTATCCAAGCGATTTTCATGCCTAGATAATAAACTCGTTTACTTCAGTAAAACGAGACTAAAACAAAGAATAGTAGTTAACGTATTATTTTCGACATCCCCCAGGCAGTTGCATGTGTTTGTTGCTACACAAAAAAAAAAAACATGCGTATAAACATGCAAAATTGTAGTTCCAAAATGAACTGGACAACTATAAATTGGAGTAATTCGTTTGTCCCCGTTGAAAGTCGCATTCAAAATATTTATATTTGACTTAACTAACTTAACGGAATTGTTTCATTTTAAACATTGTATACATTTTCGAATCTGTGAAATTAAAAAGTTAAATTTTGAATTTTAAATTATTTGAGGAAAATTCTTTATAGGCGTAATTAAAATAAGCCATCTATTTTTGTTTGTTTCATTAAAACGAAAAATTAAAAAATAAACAAAAGAATGAACGTTAATATTTTTAAAGAAATAATCAATTAATCATTTATATACTACGATAGCGACCAAATTCGATAAAATTTTTAGAATAATTTTATTTTCTATTTAACATTTACTAAACATCTTACTATGAAGTCGCTTAGTCTCTTAATAGATAACAAAATTGTAAAACTTATTTTTCAAATATACAAAAATAGAGCGAGTATGCGAGGTCTAATTTTATCATCTCGATATGCATTTTTCATTCACGTCACTTTATTTGAGGCCAGTTGACAAAAAACATTTTCCGATTTTCTATATCTAACGATGATTGTTGTTGGCTTTGGCACAAAAACGTTCTCAGAACAGATGGGACATATTTAAAACATCGTAAAACAGACTTATTTTTAAAAGCTAAACTTTAATCGTTCAGAATCTAGAGGCACCTCTCTTCCGATTGCTGATTGCGGTCCCGTGCAAACAACAAAAAAATCGAATACACGTGATACGGCCATAAAACACGCCGACAATGCAAAACGCACGAATAAAAATAAAATTAAATGCCAATAAAAAGTATATTAGAACTGGTATTCTTTTTCGGTACAGCAATCCCCACGCTCCAGTCTCTCTCTGAACCATAATCCCAGATAGAGGACTGTAGACCACCCTAAGATTGCAATTCCGAACTGTTTAGGCCTGCCGGGCAACGTTGCCGCTTCGCATCAAGTTCCAGGTACTTGCGAAGACTTAAGTTATCGGAAACAACTGGAAAATTTTAAAATTTTACCGAGACGTGCGCGACAATTTCAAACTAGCAGCGAAACAATAAAACAAGTAAAAAAAATCTGGATTGGTATTAAGAAAACTCTTTTGTAATGTCTAGTTCATAGCTACCCAATAATAAGCTAATGATATATTTTTTGTAAACCATAAAAATTACTTTATGCCTTTGCTCTTTTTATTGATGCTAACCAAAACTATGGGCCAGCCAGTTAGTACTGAATAAACTAATAGGTGGGAATGGACTTTTCTTAAAGGTACCGCTAGTAATTTTGTTTTGCCTATAGATGGACAAGACTAGACGGTCACCACAGATTCGAAATGCATAGGAATACCATCGAATGTAAGACGGGAGAAACGGGGAGTGATTCCGTAACTAAATGGCAACGCAGCGTCAAAGCAAGAGAGAACCGAAGACAAGGAAGAGGTTCTTAGAAATGCTCGAGAGTCGGTATAGGCATACACCGAAAGCTTAAATGTCTATACGAATCTAAGCAAAAATGACCTATTCGAATGGTAACGCAATCGAGTTGGTGCATAAAGCAGAATTAAACGGATAATAGACAGGTGATATGAACAATTACTTAATAAGAAAGAATGTTATTCATAAATTATTATGTTCGAATTGTTCGGTCACTTTCGGCCATTCAACTCCCTATTTAAGTCGAACCGACCGGGTCAGTTCGGTGTCTACCGAATGCAAGGCCGTATATAAACTGATTTCTTTCTCTTCGTACGTATATTCTTTGCGCCTTTTTGTCCAATGCGCTATCTGATATGCTTAATACGCATTTTCTCCTCCGCATTATTTAGATTTAGTTACCGACGTTTCTTTATCAAATCGGGCGCCCATCTTCAGAGATATTTTGCCCATATCTTCGAATCCGCGCGTGGTTTGATTATGAGTAATCACCGGTAACGGACTGACTAACTATCCATTCAAGAAACTTAATTTCCTTGTTA